TGGCCCTTTCCATTCTAAGGGTTTTCTTGCCGATCTCAAGGAAATGAGTGTGCAAAGAATCACAGTGGACAGCATGGGGGGTGCTGCAGGCACAGGGTGTATCTTACAGTCCACAGAACCTTCTCAGGAGTCTTGAGCCTTCTAATTCATGAGCCACCTGGCCCAAGCTGCCTCCCTCCCCCAGCAAAGGTCAGGACTGTTACTTCCAGGGCAGCCTCAATCCTGAAAATGCAGTCAAGGGGACACTGATGTCCTCTGTCATTTTGACTCGAGGCTCCTGTGACCAGGTGCCAACCAGTAACCTAACCTCCACCCTGCACACATTTCCAGATCCTGCTTAGTTTCAGCCTCTGGAAAGCAGCTCTGTTTCCCAAGGGTCATTGGCTTGTAAAGTAGGAGCTGTTGAGGCTGGGGCATCACTTTCATCCAGGACTAAGTGGGAAATCCCTCAGTGTCCCTAGACCTTCACTGGAAAACAAGGAAACAGGAACTGAAGGGTAAAGAGAAGCCATTGAAAACACCTGACACTGTGATTGTAAGGATGTGTGACCCTAGGTGTGACAGGAGCGTGCTTACTTTCTCAAGGTGGGGGTGGTAGGAGGGCTTCCCCGTGGGACTGAGGGGGACAGGTTAGCACCCATAGCAAACACCCCAGGAGTGTCCAGAGACTGCCTCACCAGGTCCTCACTCAGGAACATCTCTTGGACTTCTGAGGTTGTGCAAGGTGTGGGGGGTCTGTGTTCCTGGAGTACACTGCCCTTGAAGCCTGCATGGGGCGTGCCCCTGACTGGGGTGCCTGCACTGTGACTCTGTGACATGACCACTTCGTTTAAGAGTTGTCCTTTTTGGGGGGCACCTGGGTGGCTCAGTTGGTTAAGCGTCTGACTCTTGGTTTCAGCTCAGGTCATGATCTCACGGTTTGTGAGATTGAGCTCCGCATCTGGCTGCATGCTGACAACACAGAGCCTGCTTGGGATTCTCTCTCTTCCTCTCTGCCTCTCCCCTGCTCGCTCACTCTATCTCTCAGATAAACAAACTTAACAAAAAGAATCATCCTTCTTGTGTGATGTGCTTTGGCTCATGGAGGGCACCTCTGCTCCCGTATGGAGTCCTGGTGTCCTGGGTGCCCCATCTCTCTGCCCTCACACCCGTGCGCTGCTGGGGACCGGACTGGGAGACTGAGAGGCCAGTCTTGGGTTTCCGGGACTGCATGTTGACTTCACTGAGCTCCCAGGACTCCTGGCCCCCAGACCCCCCCTCTTCTGTTGGGAACTGCAAACCGATGGGGACGGGGTCTGGTGGCCTTCCCTAGCCTCTGGTGATACATGCTCCGACCAGGGTGTGATCTCAGATTACACGTTTGCATTTGTAGCTTAATTTGAGCAGTGTGCATTTTTATTGGAAAACTTGTGCTTTTGGACATGTGGGTTGGGTTTTTTTTTTTTTTTTTTTTAAGATCATAGCAGTCTTACAGTTTTTATTACACCTCACATGATGCAGTTTTGTGGCATGCACATTGGTTTTATATTGGGAGGCGCTGGGGGGTGGAGATTGAATTCCAGAAAAGTTGATGATCCGTTTTTCAGAAACCTTTTTCCATACCGAAGGGGCCTACCCCAGTCTCTGCCACAGGACACAGTTACAGAAGGCAGCTGGAAGATGGTTCGGTTTGGATGTAGAGGGGAGGGGAGGGAGTAGCGGTAAGGCAGTGAGACAGGGGAGCAACAGAGCCCTGCTGTGCAAGGGAGGCATGGAGGCAGGTGGTGGTACGGTCTGTGGCCTGAGTGGCAGTATCCCTGTGCACACTGCAGGTGTCCATGTGGCTGGCAGCTGTGCCTGCTCTAGGAACAGCGGTCAACTCAGTCGGGTGGGTACCAGGGGAGGGCCTTGCCCTGTGTGGTGGGCTCGTGCCATCATTATGATAGTGGAATTCCAGAAGCAGAATCTCGTGCTCTCAGAAACCATGGAATTAGATCTAGTGATGATGGTGAAAAGGCAGGCCACTCTTGTGTCTTCAGAGGTGGCACAAGTGCGCATGTGGCCCCGGGACACGGGGGTGCCTGGAAGACCCAGGCTGGTTCCTCTCTCCCAGCACCCGAGAAGCTCTTCTTCCTGGCCGGGTCCCTGGTGAGCTGGGACCTGGAGATAGACAGTGGTGCCACCTCAGGGGCATCCCAGATGGTTGTAGGATAGGAGTTTAAGGCAGGTATTGGCCCATATCAGAGAGACTTAGTGTAATACAGAGTGTTCCGCCGACGCAAGTCAAGTCTCTTAAGGAAAGCTGCCTTTTCCTGCCGTCGGGAGGGCGCCTGGTGGGCTGGTAAGGATCCCCAGGCCCAGCACACACATTCCAGTCCTGCCTAAGCAGACCTCGTGTGATGCCCTTTAGAGACTCTGTGGCCTCCCTTTCTTGACCGTGCACTATTGAAATTCTCCTGCAGGCAGGGTTGGTTGGTGGGAGAGTCGTGCCAGGGTCCTAGACTTGACTCTACCTCTTATATGCCATGTGACCTCAGATAAGTCTCCTCCTCTTCTTATATGCCACATGACCTTGGATAAGTCCCCATCTTTTCTTGGTTTCCATGTCTTTAAAGGATTATTAGAAGTAGCAACTCAAAAGAACAGGTCATAATATATAAACTCTTGGGAGATGTTCTGCTTCATAGTGGTCAAAGAAGTAAGTAACCAAGTTGTCATTTTAACATTACACATTAGCAATTAACAGTAGTATCCAAAGTTTGTACTGTAAGTTGCCATCATCCTTCCCAAAAAGCACAAAGTGGCCATACCCTTGGACCTAATAATTTCACTTCTGGCAGGTTTGACCAAAGGAAATAACCCAAGAAAATGAAAGAGTGTTAGCCAAAGGTTTTCTGTCTCACTCTTTTTTTTTTTTTTTTTTTTTTTTTTTTTTTTCTGAAGGTAATAAGAAGCCTTCTAAATGCCTTAATAAGGGTTGGTAAACCGTGATGGGCCCATTTTAGGGAATATTAAAATTGATGGTCGTGGTGTCTTGTAAGATGGAGAAAATACACGTGATACATATTAAAACCGTCACACCAGCAACTATATAAAAATATGGGTGACTGCATAAGACAGGCAGGGATATACAGAGAGACTGGCTGCGTGAGATCAGGCAATTTTTTTTTAATGTTTTGTTGACATAATCAAATATCATATGATTTCCCCATTTAATGTGTGCGGTTCACTCTTGTATTTTTAAAATTTTCTTTATTTTGAGAGAGCACAAGCTTGAGCTGGGGAGGGGTAGAGAGAGGGAGAGAGAAATAACCCTAAGCAGGCTCTGCATTGTCAGTGTGGAGCCTGATAGGGGCTCGAACTCTAGAACTGTGAGATCATGATCTGAGCTGAAATCCAGAGTCACAGGCTTAACCGACTGAGCTACCCAGGCGCCCCAATTCACTGGTTTTTAATATATTTTGCAACCATCATTACTACCAGTGTTGGCAAGGAAACCAAAAGGAAACTCCGTATTCATCACTCTCTGCCCACCCCCACCCTCCTAAGCCCTGACACCCATGAATATGATTCTTGTGTCTGGATTGGCCGGTTCTGGATGTAAGGAATCACACCGTATGTACCTTTTGTGTCTGGTCTCTTTCACTGAGCGGCCTGTTTTCCAGGTTCATCCAGGTTGTAGCATTCCACTGTGGGCACACATCAGCACATGTACAGTTGGGCTATCGACCTATCAGTGGTTGGATGCTGTCAGTTGCGTACGTTTTTTGGCTACTATGAAGAATGCTGCTGTGAACATTTGTGTACAAGTTTCTGTGTGTTTTCCCCGTTCTCCTGTATACACACCTGGGAAGGGAATCACCTGGGTCGTGTGGTAATTAACTGTATTAACCTTTTGAAGAACCACCAGGCAGTGTAAAGGTGCTGTGCTTTTGTGTGCCCCACCCCCAGCAGTGTGGGGGTTCCAGTTTCTCTACATAATACTTGTTACTTTCTCGTTGTGGTAACAAGAAATGGTACCTCATTGTGGTTTTGACTTGCATTTCCTTTTGGCTAGGTGTTCAGCTTCTCATGTATTCATTGAACATTTGTTTTTATCTTTGGAGAAATGTGTATTCAGATCCTTTGCCATTTTTTAATGGGTTTTTTTTGTTAATGAGTTAGAGTTCTTTATATAGATATTGTAAATACAAGTTCTCTAGCAGGTAGAGGATGTGTAAAAATCTGTGCCGTGTGCAGTCTCTCCACTTTCTTGGTGGTGCCCTTGAAACCCAAGCTTTTAATTTTACTGATACCCATTTTATTTCTTTTGCTGCTTGGACTTGGTCTCTCAGGCCCTGCCACTGATGTGTGAAATTTAACGAGGCTCCAGGCTCCCTCTGCCCCCCGTAGGGTCGTCTGGGGCCCTTCATCCCCATGTGGCTCTGAACTTCACTCGTGGGCCTCTAGGACAGAGATGGTTTCACTGCATGTCTCTCTGTCCTGTTTAGAGTTAGTTCCTATTATTTTATTTCACTTAAAAAAACATGAAGCCCTACTTCAAAATGCTAATTTCTAGCCTTCTATGCTGGGCACAGTGAAAAGGAAGGGTCTTGCTGAAGGAGACAGGATGCCAACCCAGGGCAGGAAGGCCCCAGGTTTCCCGTTTCTCCCTAGGGCCTAGCAGCAGGTGCTCAGGGAGCCTTGGGAGGGAAAGAAGTGAGGGAAATGTTTCACTCTGCATCTTCTTTCCTACCCATCCTCAACAAGCACAAGGGCCTCTGTGCCGCATGCACAGCGGCTGTGAGAGCTGGGGAGTAGGGAGACGCCTGTTCTCATTTCTTCCTGCAGTGGCTGCGGGTCTGTGGGGGCCAGTCTGAGCCTGCTGGGGAGGGACTTGGGACCAGAAGCGGAGAGGAAGGGGACCTGAGTGGGTGGGCAAGTGGGAGGGTGCTGTGCTGGGAGGGGCGGAACCAGCCCCGAATGGGGGAGGGAGTGTGGCTGAGGCCTGCCTCTTCTCCCCCCCCCCCACCCCCCAACAGCTCCCCAGAGGCCTGCGTGTCTGCGTGGCAGTGGAAGGAGCCTCTCCTGCTTCCCCTTCTGACTGCCTGGGATTCGAGGTAACAAGTCTCCCAGATCCTCTCCCACAGGCAAGCCACGCAGTGCTCCGGCACGGAGGCAGCTTGCTGCCGTGAGGGAGGGAGGGAGGGTCTGCCTTACCATGTTCTGCCCTCACAGGGCACCCTTGCCCTCTGGCTCGGATACAGGGGCATGGGTGATGGTGCAGGATGGTGGCTTTGGGCCTGGCATATCCTTGGCAATGGTGGGGCATCTCCAGGGCCTAGAGGGAGCCCACTGACTCCAAACCCCTTTCCTGAAGGAATTAGCCCTAGTCCATAAGCCCTGTCCCCACCCAGAGCACGGAGATTTACGTGGAGGAGTAAAATAGACTCGAACTGCAAGGGCAGGGCACACCTGTGGGAGCACTCACGGGAGGCTGTGTGCTTGGGCTCCGAGGACGGTCACAGGCCGATGCCAGACCAGCATGCAGAGGCTGGGAGCTTGGTTCACGTCTGGGTTTTTGTTCCAGGCCCAGGAGAAACAGCAGAGATGTCCAACGAGCCACCCCCTCCTTATCCTGGAGGCCCCACGGCCCCCCTTCTGGAGGAGAAGAGTGGAGCCCCACCTACCCCAGGTAGGGCTCAGTGCCCCTGATGGTCCCAGCTCCTAGAAGCTGGTGCCTGACTCTGCAGCCACTGCCCTCTGAGCTCCCTCTTCCTGCCCTTCTCTGTCCAGGCCGCACCTCCCCAGCTGTGATGCAGCCCCCACCAGGCATGTCGATGCCCCCCGCAGACATCGGTCCCCCACCCTATGAGCCACCAGGTCACGCGATGCCTCAGCCCGGCTTCATCCCCCCGCACATGAATGCAGACGGCACGTACATGCCTCCAGGTAAGTAGGATAGGGGAGCACGGGGTCTGCCCTGCCCAGCACCCAGTGTGTTATCTGGGCTGCCACCCACCCGGTGGGGTAGGCAGGTGGGCCGCCCGCCCTCCCCCCCCCGCAGGGGGGGGGGGGGGGGGGGCTGCCTCTCAGTGTGGACGATTGAGGGGTGGGGCACAAGTGAACTAGAGCAAGGCGCTGCTGTGCAGGTATTGTGGGCAAACCATGTGAGCCCTGGGCCCTGCTGGGGGTAGGGTTAGCTCCTGGGAAGGCTCCTCAGGCCTGTGAGAGGTACTGACTCATGGGTGCTGCAGGGGCCTCTCCCTGCCAGGGCGTGGAGTCTGGTGGAGGTCTGGGCTCCTGCTCACCCAGCAGTTCTCCAGAAGGACTCCTCAGGCTGGAGAAAGTCCCAGGGCTCTTGCACAGGCGGCCCCAGGTATTTCAGTGCAGGATCTGACGCTGGTGGGAAGGAGAGCCCTGTGTGCGTGAGAGGGGCTTGGGCTGGTGTGCGGCGAGGCTTTCCCTCCTGTGGGACACAGCGCCCCGTCCCCTTTGTGCCAGAGGCAGGGAGCACACACATGAGGTGGAGACCAAGGAGAGATGAGGTCTTCTCCCAGCTCTGCCACGTCTGGCTGGACCAAGTAGCTGCTCTGTCCTGGTGCTCACAGGGTCAGGACCAGAAAGGGCTGGGAGACTGTCATGGTCACCTTGGCCCAGGACCTGGTCCCTGAGGCCTCATTTTGTGTCCTGGGGTCCTTGGGGCCTTGTGCTTACCTCTCACGTGGGGCAGGTGGCAAGCCAGCCACGTCTTTGTTCTGTTTTCTGTGCCATTTCAGGTTTCTACCCTCCTCCAGGCCCCCACCCACCCATGGGCTACTATCCACCAGGGCCCTATCCGCCAGGGCCCTATCCTGGCCCTGGGGGCCACACTGCCACAGTCCTAGTTCCTTCAGGGGCCGCCACCACGGTGACGGTGCTGCAGGGAGAGATCTTTGAAGGTGCGCCTGTACAGACGGTATGTCCCCACTGCCAGCAGGCCATCACCACCAAGATCTCCTATGAGATTGGCCTGATGAACTTTGTGCTGGGCTTCTTCTGCTGCTTCATGGGGTAGGTGGTGTGGGCGCCTAGAGGGTAGGGGCTGGAGTAAGCTTGGGTGCCTTGGGTGCCCTCAATGCCTTCTCCTCTGACCTCCCTGTCTTCCCGGTCTCTGATTCAGGTGTGATCTGGGCTGCTGCTTGATCCCTTGCCTCATCAACGATTTCAAGGACGTGACGCACACGTGCCCCAGCTGCAAAGCCTACATCTACACGTACAAGCGCCTGTGCTAACGGAGCCGGGACTGGACTCCCTGCTGTCAGTCTGGCCCCCTGTGCTTCTGCTCCCCTTGCTCAGTGGCTCGCTTCCCTGCTCCCATTTGGGGATGGAAGCCGTTCCACCGGTCCCCTGGAAGTCCTGTCCTTTTTGGCTTGCCCTTCCCTGAGCATCTGACTCTTCGGCAAAAATTCTGTTGGATTTAAGGCCAAGGGTCAGCGAGTGGCAGGGGGATGGCACTGAGCCGCATGTTGCTGGTTTGCTTGGTGTTTGTGATGAGGAAGATAAACTGGGAAGGGTCTCCTCGCACAGTCTCCCTGCTGGGGTCTCTCTCATTCCTCTTCTGTACAAAGTATAGATTTGGTCCTGACTCTCCCTGGGACCAAAAGCAGCCAGAGCAGAACTGGGGCCTGCACTGGGGCTGTATCTCTTGCCACGGTTATTTCTGATCTGCTGGGCTGAGAGTGGGGGAGTGGACCCAAGCAGGACAGGGACATAAGGCCTGGCTCTGTTTTGGGGTGCCAGAGGTGGGCATGAGTATTAGAAGGAATGACTCTGGCCCTCAGAACTCCGAAACTCAACGCCTTTTCCAAGTGCCCAGGAGTCACCTGGGGTAAGGTAGAGAGGTTAGCACACCTGCAAGTAACAGGGTAAGCTTGCCAAGAAGGGACTTGCCTCTGGCCCCTGCCCAGCTCCCTTTCTGGCCACCCCTCCACAAACCCATCTTTGCTAGTGCCAGAAGGAACGCCCAGGAGCCTAGCTCATCTGCCTATACCACATCCTTGCTGTGTGTGAGCAAGACCTTTGCCCAGGGGCTGGCGTAGCCTGGCCAGGACTGGAGGGGACAGGGACCGCTTCGCAAACACGCTCAGATTTGCAGTGCGTTCGTGGATCCTCTTCCCAGTAAACGCTGGGCCCCTTCTCCTGGCTGACTTGCTGTCACTGTGCTTGTTTCAGCAGCAGGTACTGCAGCAGGAGCAGCTGTGGCACTGGACTAGGACAGGCTGGGGATGAGGAAGGAGCAGCCACACGTGGCGGAAGTGCCCTGGTGGACACCTGCCCTGGGCCTGAGCCCACACTGTATTTCCTGGTTTGTCTGTGAACTTGATCACGTGGACCGCTGTACCCGCCGCCCCTCTCCTCGTCTCGCACTGCCACTGCATGGCCTTCCTGTCACTGTGAATCATGGCTGCTCTCAGTTTGTAGTTTCTCATTAAATTGGCCCTTTCACTCCCCTGCCCTGGGCCTCTGCTCTCTTGCCTGGCTTCCTTCTTCAAGGGAAAGAGGGTGGGGCTAGAAGTGGTCAAAGGGCAGGGGCTTGAGTCCTCAGGGTCTTAGTGCTTATGACCCACTGACTGCCCAGAGAAGACAATAAGCCACTTGGGAATCCAGTGTGGAGGTGGACGAGCCCTGGGATGCTAGCTGTGACCTGGCTAGGATAGGAGTCCACTTCACTGCACTGTAGGGTCACCTTACTGTCTCTGATCCTGGTCTCACCCGTCTCCACACCATGGCATCTGCCCACACGGTCTGCAGGCTGGAGCCCCCTGGCTTGAGCTCAGGGTCATCCCACCCTGCAGGCAAATACCCTTGCTCCCTTAAGCAAGACAGCAAGCCACTGGGGCTGAGGCTTCTGGTCTGAAGGCTAATGGGAGGTAGGCAATCGGCCCCCAGGTTGAGCCAGCTCCTTCCCTACCCCTCATCTTAACTGTGAAGTGGGTTGGCTTGGTCACGAGTTGAAGACAAGTTTTCCCCACCATTTAATCCTTTTTTGAATAAAAGTTTTGCAGATCCTCAAAATATAAAACAGGAAACAGATTCCTATCAATAAAAGTATTTAAATTCACATTTGTATTTTAGACCATGAATTGTTACATAATGTTCTTGATCCTTATTTATAAACAAACTATCTCAAAATGTAGGAAACCTTCAAAGCACTTCTGAGAGAAAATCACAAGACCAGATGATAGATTTGGCTCTGGGCAGAGGGCTGTGAGGTGACCAGGAGTGTTGAGAGCACAAGGCCAAGACTGGCTGCGAAGGATAATGTTGGCGCCAGAAAAGAGGGAGGCAGCTATCAGAGTCCACTTTATTGAGTGCTGTAGCATTTACACAGGTCAAAGGAGGGGATGCGCCATGGCTAAACAGACCCCCTCTCGGGTTTCTGCTTGAGCAGGAAGAGGACTGGCTACTCAGGATGGAGCTCCCAGGGCCTCTGAGACAGGATGCAAGGGGGGGGGCCCCCCCCCCCACTCCAAGGAGAGGCCTCCTCCCTCCCACAGAGCTACAGCAACCTGGGCTTGCTGGATGCTCTGTTCCCACTAGGGGAAAAATACCCACCTAAATGCCAGCACGAGGAATGATGAAGGGAAGGAGCCTCAGGATAAGCGGTGTGGGTGCCCTGGGAGCAGAGCTGGTTCCAGAGACTCAGACTGGTCTGCTGAGCTGCACTGGCTGCTCCCGGTACCATGGCCCAACGGCTGCAGGAATGGAGGGCCTGCACCCTGCTCGGCATCTAGCCCACACAGAGGACGCTACAGGCAGAGGCTTTAGCGTCTGGCTTTTATTGGTTGCTTGTTTTCTCAAACCCAGCATTTAAAAAAAAGAAAGTCACCTGAGGTGGTAGTTTAGTCACAGGTGGGGATGGGCCAGTGGTCAATCGGGAGGATGGCGCCAAGGCGGTATGATGGGTCCTTCACACGTAGTACCAGGCCAAGAAGCCGGCAACAAGGGCCGCACCAGCGGCCAGAATGAACTGGAGGCTAGGCTTACTCAGCACAGCCAGGGCTGTTCGGAAGGGGCAGCTGCTGCCCTCCAGGGCACCTGTGTGGCGGCACCAACAGGGGACAGGGCATCAGTGGAGAACGCTGACACGCCCACCCTGGAGGAGAATTTTGGACCGGCAAGACCTACCTCCATCTTGTTTAGCAGCGTAGTAGGGGCATTTACGCACATCTCCTTTCCCATCGTGCATGGGGAGCCCATCCTCCAGGGTCTCTTTGGCCAACAAGAAGCCAGCCTGGTCCAGTTCATCGAAAATCTGCAGGAGCAGGGGATGAACAGCTTTCAGTGGACTCCAAAGTGCAAACCAGTCAAGGAGCAGCCCGAATCTGCAGCGGGGGCAGCCACACGGACCCAACGCTGCTCCCTGGCACAAGCTCAGAGGTGGGGCCACACCTGTGCTGCTGACTGTGGGGGCTCCTCCCTGGGCACTGACCAGACACACAGCCCACAGCTGGAGCTACCAGGGCAGAAACAGGAGAGAACAAAAGCGTTGCCCCAAAATACCACGTTAACATTGGTCCTTCCCCATTCGCAGTTGCTAGGTATTTTCAGCAAGAATGACGGAGAGGAACGTGGGAGAACTGAGGCCCCAGCAGGGCTGACCCATCCTAAGTGGCCCACGGAGGCTCACTGATGTGGGACTGATCTGATGGGCCTGTGTCGGGCCTGGTGCTTCCTTTCCCCGCCTCGGCCACCCTCCTGGTGCCGAGGGCCAACCTGGACTCCAGGACAGAATCTGCCTCCCCAGGCTTAGCCCCATTTAAAAAAAACTTGTCAGCTGAGTTCTCACCCTGCTTGGTTCTCTCCTTGAACTGATCAAGTGGGGCAGCCCTTGCTAAAAAGGAGGAAATCCACTCAAGACCAGAATCCTGTGGTGAGAGGGAGTGACCTCCCTCTACGTGCTAGGGCCTTGCCCTCCTCGGAACAAAAACACAAAAGTTGTCCATCAAAGCGAAGCCATCATGGGCTCATGCCCTCTGTGGCCTATTTGGTCCTACGATTTTCTTCCTGGAAGGCTGCCCCGTATCGGGCCTAAAGCACTGGTGCCTGTTACGGCAGCTCCGGATCACCCCCCCCCCCCCCCCCCAGTCAGGGGCCCCCTTCTGCCTGACCTCAGCAGTACCTGCATGTTGTACTCAAAGGCCTTGTTGGCCTCCTCCACGATCTTCTCTTTGGTCTTTAGGTTCAGGTCCAAGGCATTCATCCTGGCCCGGTAGAGCTGCTTGAACTGTTGAGCATTGTCCACGTTCTCAAACTTATAGAACTGGGTCCCTTCTCCCGTGCTGGGGAGTTTCAGGGCCCGCTGGGCCACCTTCTTCAGCACCTGGCCCCCTGAAAGGTCCCCCATGTAGCGGGTGTATGCATGGGCCACCAGCAGCTCCGGCTCATTCTGCCCCACATAGTGGATCCGCTCCACGTACTTTTGGGCAGCCTGGGAGCACTGCACCTGCTCCTCCCAGTTCTCGCCAAAGAAATACTCCATGTCCTTGGTCAGTGCCTCCTTCCGGTGCAGCTCCGTGGGGAAGTACAAGGGGGCAAAGGCTGGGTGGTCCTTGTTGCGTTCCATCTCCTCCTCCAGGGCTGAATATGTGAAGTAAAGTGCAGTAGTGGCCAGCTGTTGAGGGTGACAGGGGAGACCACAGGGAGGGCTGCAGTTCTGGAAGCCCTTGACCAGCAAACACCCCTCCTGAGCCCAATGCCCTTGCGTCTGAGCAGCCATAGAGGAAGGCTCCATCCAGTCGCATGCCCCCTCTAATTCCCGCAGGCCCATTTTGATACAGTGGATTATTTCACACACCCAGGCAACTTTTTATGTTTCTTAAAGGAATGACACGGAACGTGGATACTTCTGCTTCACACCATCACTATGTTATTCTATTTAAGCTACCTGAAAACCACAGTCTGCTGTCAAAAGAATGGAGAGCAGGTGGCAAAAGGCCCAGCTTCCACTGAAGAACTGTTCCAAGGGGATGTTCCTGACACGACCGAGGCCCCCGACCTGACCCTATCCATGACCAAGGGCACAAACCTTAAACAGCTCCTTCCTGATGTTGCCTTTCAAGAAGTCCTTGACAAATTGGGTGTTTTCTGCCCGGTCATGTGCTTCCTTGGTCCCTTCCTTCAGGAGCTCGGAGAGGTCAGCCATCCTGTGGAGATGGAAGGTGTGCGCACACGCACGTGTGCATGTGTGAATTAGCCCTTCCTAGTTTCAGGGTGTCCCCTCGCTGAGATAGACGCAGGAGCTTCTGAGAAACTCAACCCCAGCCTGAATACAGGGTCTTGCTAGGGAGCACGGAACAGGCAGATGTGAGTCGGCCCCCAGGACTTGGATGACATGTGGAGGACTGTGGCCTACTTCCTAACAGTGTCCATGTCTGAACCACCTGAATGAACAATGCTTTGCCTCTGTGACCACCTAGTGCCTGATAAAAAGCCCACCTCTAATCCCAGCACAGCGTGTGCTGGCTTCTGCAGGAACAGCGAGCCTTTGGGAACGTGTCTCATGGAATCCACACTGCTGTGATGGACTGACTGTGGATGTCCCGGGGCAGCCTTGCTGCCTTCCTCCCACCTGGGACCCACAGCCTCTTCAGGACTGCATGTGGCTTGGCCCAGGGGCAGGAGGAGAAGGAGACAGAGGCTGAGGAAGTTGGAGCCAGTACCTGGGCTTGTACTGCTTAACAAAATTATACAGGATGGAGCTGTGCTGACAGGTGCCACAGGCAGCAACCAGCGAGGGAAACAAAGAACCCATGACCCTGAAGAAGGGAGGCGCCGCGCAGTAGCCCGTGTGGTCCACACGGTCCATCCACCAAAGAGATAAAAACGCGGCCCCATACAGCCCACCCTCTGCTGGCTTCTTTAGGAGATCGGGCTCCTATCACCTACATGCTGAGAATCATTTCTTACTAGCAATTATTTCAAGATATAAAAAAGCACTTTGTCAATGACAGGGCTCAATAAGATAAGAACAATGAAGAACAGGCTCTGGGAATTCATGAAGTGTCTCTACCCAGTAAGAAAAACCCCTGGAGTCAGAGCTGCTCCCACATCCTAAGGGGTGGAAAACACTGGAAAAGGTGCCAGTTTTGCCTGATTACCCTTTTTCACCACAAAAGAAACAAGGATCAGGGAAACCATCAAATTCTATTCCTCAGCACTCCTAGCAGTGCCTGTCCTGCTTCCTCGGGAACGAATGGGGAGAAAGCTGAGCAGCCCAGGGTGCTGCATGCCACTTCTCTCTGCAATCCCAATCAGGGGTCCCGGGGGAAACAGCAGCGACACTCCCCACACCCTGGTGCCTCCCACATACAAGGCCCCGGGCACATGACTCAACACAGCCAACCACCACCACTCACCTGGTGTGGTTTTCTTTTTCTGAGGCCCCAAAGCTCTTTTTCTCCGACTCATCCACCCCCTCTGAGGTCTCCAGTTCCACTGACATGGTTGCCGAGTGAGATTCTTGCTGCTCTCACTCTTCTGGTCCTGTAGAGACACAAGGAGCTGGTGATGTGGCGCCCACAGCATCACTTCCCCCAGACACCTGCTGGTTCTGCTCTCCTCTGAGCCAACATAACGGAGGAGTCACCCACGCGCCTCAGGAGTGTTTTCTTTAAAAATAAAACTCTGCCATTACTGGGACCATTATCCGGATATGGACAAGATTTGAATATGGACAGGAGATGAGGTAATAGCGTCAAATTGATACTGAACTTGCTTTTTTTTTCTTTTTTTTTTTATAATTGTACTGTGAGAATATAAGAGAATGTCTTTGTTTTAGGAAATACATCCTGAAGTATTCAAAATTAAAGGCCACACTTCTGCAAGTTAACTGTAAAATGGTTCAGAAAGTGTGCGTGCGTGCACATACCTGTTAGGGAGAGGGAGGGAGGGAACTCAAGTCAAAGCAAATGAAACAAAACACTGGCAGTGAATTTGGATAAAAGGTACACAAGAGTTACTTGTATCATTCTTGCAGCTTTTCTGTATGTTTGAAATTATATCAAAATCAGAAGTTAACCTAAAACACAAAATAACAAATAACATCATAGATAAAGCTTAAAACCAAAAGCAGTGGTGCAGCGAGCAGAGCGACTCTGAGTTGGGCAGCAACCCGTCCCAGCTGTCACAGGCAGGGCGGCCTTGTGCACGGAGCCGCGGGGCAGGGCAGTTAATTCGAACAGTGAGCCAGGCCATTTGAAGACGCTAAGAGCAGCTGGAAAGGCACTCGATGAGCTGAATCAGGTATTCAGAGTCACCAAGCAAGTGGACTGTCCCCAGCCTGCTCCAGACTTTGAAGGGCTGAAGGAAGAAAGACAAGCTAGCCGCTCTCCCTTTGCTGCTGAACCTTCCGAACCTTCCTAAACCAGGGAAATACGGTCCCACAAGACAAGCTAACCCTCCACCCCTGGAGGCCTCTGCTCTGGAGCACAAAAGAGCAGCCCATCTGGGAAACTTTCCAGATGAACAGCAGCACAGTTCACCAGTTACTAATGTAACTCACGAAACCAGAACTACCCAATCAAGCCAAGGAAAGAAGAGGTCTTTATTTTCCTACCTCAACCAGTATCTATTTACTGAGCATTTTCTACATGCTCTACCCAGAAATAGGTGTCAAGGGGGACAAAAAAAGTGTAAGTAATGGTCCTCTGAAGGTTTAAAGAAGAAAATAAAAATCAACCTCTAACTCACTCCACAGATACACCCACTGTTAACGTTAGTACGTATCCTGAGTTTTCTCCAGACATGTAATTACATCTTATCTTCTGGGATATTATAATACATGGTTTGCTCAGCATGCTCTTTCTGAACCTTTATATTTAGCATTTATACAGTGGGATTGACAGGATTAAGTGAGAACAGGGAAGATAAGGCTTTTAGCACAGTACCTACCACATGGTAAGCACTCACTAAATAGTAGATATGATTGCCTTTGTATTTTGACTGAGGCTTAACTGCTGTTGTCCTAGAATGCTTAGAAAATAAATAGCAGAAAGTGAAATAAGCCAGACAAAGACATGCAGGGTATCATTTGTATGTGGAATCTAAAAAAAGAGGCTTAAGTCATAAAAACAGAGGGTAGAATGGTAGTTGCCAGGGGATAAGGGTGGGAGCAATAGGGAGATGTTGGTAAAAGGGTACAAATTTTCAGTTATAAGATGAATAAGACCTGAGGATCTGTGAACAGCATGGTGACTAGAGTTAACAATACTTTACTGCATAACTGAAATTGGTAAGAAATGTAGCTTTTAAGCGTTGTCACAGAAAAATATTTGAGGTGATAGATGTTCATTCAATTATGAGAATCCATAATTATAAATCACATTGTATGCTTTAAACATAATTTAATTTTTTAAATAAAATTTTTCATGTTTATTTAATTATGAGAGCGAGAAAGAGAGCGTGATCTGGGGAAGAGCAGAGAGAGGGAGACAGAATCTGAAGCAGGCTCCAGGCTCTGAGCTGTCAGCACAGAGCAGGATGCTGGGCTCAAACTCACAAACCGTGAAATTATGACCGGACCAAAGATGGATGTTTAACCGACAGAGCCACCCAGTCACCCTCAACAAAAAAATTTTTTAATGCTTATTTATTTTTGAGAGAGAGAGGAAGAGAGACAGAATGCCAGCAGGGGAGGGGCAGAGAGAGAGGGGGAGACACAAAATCCAAAGCAAGCTCCAGGCTCTGAAGCTGTCAGCACAGAGCCTGACACAGGGCTTGAACCCACAAACCACAAGATCATGACCTGAGCTGAAGTCGGATGCTTAACCAACTGAGCCACCCAGGCACCACGAAATATATCATAATTTTACTTGTCAACTATACCTCAATAAAGCTGGAAAAAGAAAAACAGAATATATAGAAAATGGGACCTTCCCTTGACTCCCAAATCACATATACTTTCATCTCTAATAATGCTGATGAAGGCTATGGTTCATTAACGTTAAGTCCAGGATGTGAAAGTAGGTGGTCATCACATGGAGAGAAGGCTATTCAGAAAGGCTTCCTGGAGAAGGGGGGGTGCTTACCCAGCTCCCTCAACACCATACAGGATTTAGGGTGGAGGAGAGGAAGGGCCTCTGGATCAAGGAACAATGTAAACAAAGTAAAATGGGACAGACCATAGAGATGGCCTAAGGGTGCCCAGCTATGCATCCTGTGTCCTTTTACCAAGGGGCCAAGGCAGACTTTGTCGGCTGCAGAATAAGCCTCACACCAGCTTGTCCATGCTGACCTCCTTTTACAGACTTAAGAAAGAACATCTGAGCTCTATGCCCATGAGGACCCTCAGAGCCAAGATTTATCTCAGGCCAGTCGGCCCTCAGGCTGCTAAGAGAAGGTGCTGGATGGGCCACCCAGTAGAGGGAAGAGGGGAGAGTAAAAGGTCCCAGAGCCTCTAGACAGGTGGCAGGCCCACATGGCCATGCTGAAGACATACCCCAGGTACCTGAGGACTGCACCTCCCATGCTGCCTGCAGGTGAAACTGAAAGTAGGCAAACACAAGAACAAGTGTGCAATCGGGCTGCCCTAGGTTACCAGCTGCAGTAACTTAGGTAAACTTTCTGCACCTAATTATCATGCTGCACAACAGTCATTATACATGTAATTCAATCTGATCATTAATTGTTTTGTTTGATAATAACTGCACACTCTGGGAGGATGTAGTCTTGCTCAACCAACAGGACCTTTTGCTTCTCTTACAAATATGAAAGGGGGAGGGAAAGCAGGCTGCCACAGATGCCTCCTCATCAGCACTTTGTGCCAGTCTTCAGGCACACCTTCCTCCCACCTTCTTCAACCTCAGTCCTGCCCTAGAGCCCCTAATCCCCTCCTCTCAACTCAAGGGAGGTCCAACTCTGGCCCCAGGGGCAGGGCCACAGGTGTCTGTTTCATTGCTGGAGCTCCAGAGCCTGGGAAATAACAAGTTCTCAACAAACACTTGTTAAATTAAAAACCCAAAGGTGGGGGAAGGGGGGTGTGCCTGGCTGGCTCAGGCGGAAGAGCATGTGACTCTTCATCTCGGGATCGTAAGTCCAAGCCCCATGCTGGGTGTACAGATTACTTACATAAATAAAAACTTTAAAAAAATCCGAAGGAAAGAAAGCAGGCAGGCAATGATCTCATACATCCTGCCAACAACGTGGCACCTGTGGACAACAAAAAGTACTCTGCTGTTGACTACTTCAATAGTTTTCTAAACTCAAAACATGATTTAACAATTTCGTTTTTGAAGGAAAGATAGGTACTGGCCTACTTCACTCAGAAGGAAGAATACAGATGGGGCACCTGGGTGGCTCAGTCAGTTAAGCGTCCAACTTTGGCTCAGGCCATGATCTCATGGTTTGTGAGTTCGAGCCCCGCGTCAGGCTCTGTGCTGACAGCTTGGAGCCTGCTTCGGATTCTGTGTCTCCCTCTCTGCCCCTCCCCTGCTTGTGCTCTCTCAAAAATAAATAAATATATTTTTAAAAAGGAAGAATACGGAGTCCTTAATGTGGACTCAAAGCACCATCTGCACAGATGGGAAGAATGCTCTGAGAAAGGCTCAATTAGCACATTCAACCCATACGAGCAGGGTCCAGGCAGGGCGGCCTGTGTCCATCATGTGGCCTGGTCACTGTTCCTCAAGGGGGTGGCTGGGTAGTACAGCATTCAGAAGCCACCTTGCAATGTCAGAAAAAGAATTCACTTCTGAAAAGCTACGTGTCCAAATTTGGTCTGACTGGCCCTCTATGCCTGAATCCTTTTTTCTTTGCAGGAGCCCCTGGAATCCCTAGAAAATCAGAGGTCAAATCATAAATGTAGAACCTTTCTAGACTTCAACCTCTCATTATCGAGAAGCTGCCTCACTCCACCAGGAAAAACAACAACAGAAAATATCCCAAAAGATTAACAGTAATCTGTACCAAAATGATAAGTAGCCATAATATGACGTTAGAAAAAAGTCACACAGCCTAACAATACAGGGTTGGACTGCTCAAACAACAGCAAACAATAGAATCCTGGCACAGCTGGGACAAGTTGATAGGCTGCAACCACTATGGAAAAGTCTACATAAACTTGTTTTATTTATTTATTTTTTTAATTTTTTTTTTCAACATTTATTTATTTTTTTGGGGACAGAGAGAGACAGAGCATGAACGGGGGAGGGGCAGAGAGAGAGAGGGAGACACAGAATCGGAAACAGGCTTCAGGCTCTGAGCCATCAGCCCAGAGCCTGACGCGGGGCTCGAGCTCACGAACCGCGAGATCGTGACCTGGCTGAAGTCGGACGCGTAACCAACTGCGCCACCCAGGCGCCCCTACATAAACTTGTTTTAAATAAAGGACTCAAAACGCTGACTACAACCATGCACAAAAGTATGTAAGTAAAAAAAAGAAAAAGTACTGAAGTATACTGACAGTAACAGGAAAGCTATTTAAGAGTATAAAACGCACAATAAATTATATTAAAGAAAAAAAAATAAAGCTCAACGTACCAGTTCCA